CTTTGTGAGTATTATTTTATTTTCTCTACTACTCTCTTAACCTATCATATGGATCCTGGTCGTGGATCCAGGGTGGGTGGAGACGGCGAGATCCCTGTGCAGCTGTATCGCTGGAAGTGGGGAACTCTATCAAGTATCCTAGACCATCTATTGGCACCCTAGCAATACTTTACTGGACTATCTACCCTTATTTGGCGCAGCCCTTCCATATCTTTTTGTATCTATCCACCGAAGGACCCGAGGGGTTTTCCTTCATTTGGGTTGCTGCTTACCTTGACTAATTTTGTGATTACTAGCGCTGAATTCTTTTTGTGTTTATCTACTCCAACCGACACCATCAGCACTGCAGACCCCACTTCCAGCGATACAGCTGCACAGGGATCTCGCCGTCTCCACCCACCCTGGATCCACGACCAGGATCCAGCTCCCAGTGGGTGAACCTCTCCTAAATCCAGAGAGCATAGCAGGAACAAATCAAGCTATTGCAAGAGTTTACTCTGGGGAGTAAATGATTATAGCAATCCCCAGAGTGTAGTTTTCCAATCCCCCAAACATGAGCCAAGGCTTAATGCTGGAACAAGACTTTACTAGAAGTAACAACAACAGATATTCAAGCTACAGTTTATTTTATGCCCTGCTCCCATGCAGGGGAGGGACACACACGTTATCTACAGTAGCCAATAAAACAGAGGTTACAGCCCACACAAAATCATCCCCTCTGCCCTTCAATTATCTTATACAATAGAAGATGCAAGTATCACAGGCAGGAAAAATACAGTTTTTACAGCATATTCATAACTTCTAAAATATACATCACATTCATATTCACAATCAATCCATTCAGGGAAACAACATATCAAAAAATGGCATGAATCAGACCAGGGGTTCAGAAGTTAGTAAAGTATATTTTGGGGCCTGACTGGCAGCATGGCTATCTCCAGGAGCCCTCTGTCCTGGAGACAATGGGGAAAATAATCCAATTATCCAGGGATAGAGGCAGACTCCATTGAGCACATGTTCCCTGTAAAACACAAAAGGATACAAAAATACATAACTCCTATCATACTGAATTGAACGGGCCAAATCTCCCAGGGTCCATAGTCACAGGGCAAGCAGTCCTCTCCAGGTACAAGTGGCGAAGGGCACTTCGTCACAGTAATAAATCCATGAATAAAGTAGCAGGGAGGGAAAGTACCGAATGAATGGAGGGTGATTCTTCACAATAGTCTCCTCCTTTACTGTGTTGATTCCCTCAAGCAGCCCTCTGTTGTTTGTATCTTCAACCAGGAAATCACACTATTATTAGGCATTATGTAATTCACTGATAAGGATTACATGATAACATTATGGCTGTAATTAACAAGAAAAATACTGTAATGTGTTACGTGGCAATACCAAGAACTTTGAAACATCCAGCCCAAAAAGGTATAATATGAAAACGTAACTTTTAATAGTTAAGAATAAAAAAAAAATTAAAGAAACAATATCCATTAACTATAATAAGCTTTATGTAAAAAGCCTTAGGAAAAAAATAACACAAAGTGTCCACTGACTAGTAAACTATTTAGTGTACCATCCCTAAGCCAGTGGCCAAAATATTGATACGGGTCCCCTTGAAGAGCCAGATGGTGTGGCGAAACGTTCGTCGGGACTTCAGACATTATGTGTATAACGGTCAGGCCCGGACTGGCCATCGGGCATACCGGGCAAATGCCCGGTGGGCCGCGATGGCCGTGGGGCCGAGGCCGGCAGGGAGATCACAGGATCTCCCCGGCCGGCCCCTGCAGGGCCAGCGCTACCCGAGTGCCGGCCCTGCATAGTGCCTCCATGGGCCGGTGGGGAGATCAAAGATCTCCCTCATAGGCCCACAGATAGGGAGATGCGGCCGCCGGCTGGGGAGGGAGGGTGGCAGGAGAGAGGAGCCGGTGCTCTAACAAGCAGCTCCGCCGGGTCCTCTCGCGGGATCCTGAGCGTTGCCGCGGTTACCACGGCAACGCTCAGATCTCGCGAGAGTGAACTCTAACCTGCAGGTTAGAGTTCACTCTCACCACTGGACCACCAGGGAAGCATGGCAGAACGGATCTCCTCCCCCCCCCCAGGCAGAACGGATCTCCTCCTCCCCCCTCCCAGGATAAAGGTAAGATGGGGGGGGGGACATATTTTTTTTTTTTATTAATAATTTAAAAAAAAGTTATTTAAAATAAATTCCCTAACAGCCCCCAGACACACACAGCACCCACAGACACACACACAGCACCCACAGACACACACAGCACCCAGACACACACATCACCCCCAGACACACACAGCACACCCAGACGCACACAGCACGCCCAGACGCACACAGCACCCCCAGACGCAGACAGCACCCTCAGACAGACAGCACCCTCACTCCCACACATATACAGAGCACACACACATATATATTTATGTATATATATTATATAAAATAACCCTCAGTGAGTTAACAGACAAAGAAAATTAGAAACCTAGAATGTGACGGCAGATAAAAACACCCTCACACACAGCACCCCTCTTACACAAACACACTGCGCACCTCACACATACAATACGTCCAAATATATTCTAAATATATATACACACACACTACAGCACCCCTCACACTGCACCACTACACACATTATGCTCCAGATACACGCTAGATCCCTTACCCTATATGCACTCTTAATCCTCTACACACACACACACACACAATCTTCTATACACACTCTGGGTCCTTTACACACTAGATCTCTTACACACACTGCACCACCTACACACACACTACATTCCTTGTAAGCAAACACATACAACATTCTCTAAACACACCCTCTCTACAACCCATACACACACTACTGCCCGTATGTACACACTCGCTACATCCCCTATAACACTATGCCCCTATACACGCACTCTCTACAGCCCCTAGACACACACATTACACCACAAAATTGACCTATTTACACAATACCACACCACACTCTACACACACAGGCAATCCCACAAGCATGCGCCAAACACATGCACCATACACTTTCCTGGCCCTTTTGTCCTCTGGTATCCCACTTGTGGAGACACCAGAGACAATTTAAAAGCAAACACAGCGCAAGCATGTTATTAAATTTGCTTGCGCTGCGCAGAACAAATACAGGGCCTTTTTCTAATGCCAGAGCTCTTCAGCGGGGCTCTGCGCATTGAACCAACATGCTCACTTTCAGAAGGGGTGTACTTGTCATTAGTGATGACAAAACACACCCTCTCTGGCCCCGCCCCCTTCTTGGGGGGCTGCTCTAATTGAAAAATGCCCGGGCCTAATTTTTTTCCCAGTCCGGCCCTGATAACGGTCTAAAGATACAGGCAAGACATTTGAATTGAGACACTTCCAATAGATTATTGTCCTTTTTAAGATATTTAACTTATTTAACCGTTATACACAGTGTTTGTTTTTAACTGCATATTTTCCTTTTTATTTATTTTTTAAAGTTCATTATCATGGACCATTACTATTTTAGCCACAGGAAACAGGCAGTCTAGGGGAATATGGGATTAGGTGCCCTCAAAGGCACAGGTTAGGTGGAAGTTAGAGAAAGGGCCCTTTCTCCCTCCCCACTCCTCCACCCTACCCTGTTTTCCCCTACTTTTTACCTTGTCTCCCTTACCATTTGACAGCCCATACCTGGCCAGGACTTATTGTGTACCTACCTATCAAGTTATTTGCTTTTGTTTTTGGCTACAGTTGGATACCAATTAGTGTGTTTTATTTTTATTTTTTTACTTATGTCAATATTTTGCACGTTGGTTTAGGGATAGTGCACTAAAGGGATTACTAGTCAATGGGCACTTTGTGTTATTTTCTTCCTAAGGCTTTTTATATAAAGCACATTATAGTTAAAGGACCACTATAGTGCCAGGAAAACTTGTTTATATTATAGTTAAAGGACCACTATAGTGCCAGGAAAGTCCCCCCCACCCTCATGGCCCCCCTTCCGCCTGGCTGAAGGGGTTAAACACTTACCTTTCTCCAGCGCAGGGCTCCCTCGACGCTGGGGACTCTCCTCCCTCTCCCGACGTCAGCATTGAATGCGCATGTGTTGCAAGAGTTGCACGCACATTCAAACAGTATTTCTCAATGCTTTCCTATGGACGTCAGCGTCTTCTCACTGTGATTTTCACAGTGAGAAGCGCGGAAGCGCTTCTGGCGGCTGTCAGTGAGACAGCCACTAGAGGCTGGATTAACCCTATTGTAAACATAGCAGTTTCTCTGAAACTGCTAGTTTAGAGGTGCAGGGTTAAAACTAGAGGGACCTGACATCCAGACCACTTCATTGAGCTGAAGTGGTCTGCGTGCCTATAGTTGTCCTTTAATAGATATAGTTTCTTTAAAATTATTTTTTATTCTTAACTATTGAAAGTTATGCTTTAAATGATCACTATAGGGTCAGGAACACAAACTTGTATTCCTGACCCTATAGTGCTAAACCCACCATATAGGTGGTTTGCCCCCCCTTAGACCTCCTATAAAAGTTAAAAGCCCCCTTTGTGACATCATCAAAATGGCCGATTTTTTGCTAATCCAATGCGCCTAGGCCCTTACACTCTGCTGAAGACTTACATCTATCTTCTCTCCGTACTCCCACCTCTGATGCTCGCCTTCAAGACTTCTCGAGGTCTGCACTGTTCCTGTGGAACTCACTTCCCTCCTCCGTTAGATGTTCACCCAGTCTCCACTCCTTCAAAAAAATCATTAAAAACCCACTGATTCATAAAAGTGTATCAATTAAACTGTTAATAGCTCCCGACTGATTCCAACTGTCATTAGTCTAATACTATCCTTACCTTTCATGTCACTTTACCCCACTCCCTCTAGCATGTAAGCTCATTGAGCAGGGTCCTTAACCCCTCTGTTCCTTTGTGTCCAACTTGTCTGGTTACAACTACATGTTTGTTCATCCACCCATTGTAAAGCGCTGCATAATTTGTTGGCGCTATATAAATAATAACACAATTGGCTAAAATCGGCATGGGGCGGGTCCACATGTCGTTTTGGTCAATGCATCTCTATGAGGAAAATTCAGCATCTCCATGCAGAGTGTGGGGACGCTGAATGGCAGGGCTGCTTACTGTGCAGCCCTGAGCCAGGAAGCCCCTCCAGTGGCCATCTAAGGAGTGGCCACTTGGAGGTGTCCCTAGAGGCAATGTGAACACTGCCTTTTTTTCTGAACAAATGAAAATTGTGTAGATGGGAAAATGTTTACCCATATGACTTATGGCCACATGTTAGACATCCAAGACAGCTAAAGTTCCCAGGGTTTGACTTACCAACCTCCTGTGTATACAATGATACTGGGTCAGTGTGAACAAAGATATCCTTTAAGTTAGGGTTACATTTGTATGATACCATTGGAAGAGGTTTAAATCTCTTGGGTAATGAGGGATCCTTGTATAAAATCTCCCAATGTTTAGCCATTGCCTCCTTACGCCTATGTGCTCAAGGGTGGTATGTCTGGAAAAATAAAAATGAATCTTCCAATGTATCCCATTGGGACTGAACTGCCCAGGTCCTAGACCATGCTCATTCCAAACCATTATCAAGAGTTTATCTCCTATGTCCATGTTGAAGGAACTTTTGATACATCTCATCAATTTCTATAAAACATCTATCACTCTCAGTGTTATTCTTGATAGCCCAAACAAATGGTGACATAGGTAATGAGTCGTTCACAGCACATATAGCTGTCTGCTATATGTAGAAAGTCTCTGACTGCATTTTTCATAAATAGGGTACATGTTAACTAAGCATCTTTGCCAAAAATCTATAAATCCAGAAATTCAATGCAATCACTACTATATGTGTAAGTAAATCCAACCGGTGTTGGAAGATTATTTAGGTCTGTGAAAAAGGTGTGTAATGCAGTCTCAAAGTCTAACCAAAGAATAAACACATTGTTGATAAATCACATAGATATTTCAATGCTATCTTTATAGTTATGTACAATGTGAATTTATTCACACACATACATAAATGCATTTGTATACATGGGGGCCATCACAGCCCCATGGATGTTCCTGCAATTTTCATATAATGATGTTCAAATTTTAAGTAATTGAGGGACAAAGTCAAATGGAGGGCAAGAGTAAACTTGTGATGCTGCTATGCCCTTAGGGTTGGGGGATAATAGTATAAATACTTTTGACATCTAAGGAGGCTAAAATCTGTGTCTGTTACACCAACCAAATGGATTTAATGAGTTCAGTCACAAGTGTCCAATGTCATATCTAGGACCTCAATAACTGCATCTAACCACTTAGTCATCTTTTCAAACAGACCCCCACATGCTGACACTATATGTTGGCCTAGTGGGTGAGAAGAGTTTTTGTGTATTTTAGGAACTGTGTAAAGTAATGGTCATTTAGGATGGCATTCAAATAAGTATTCTCCTATATCACTAGATACGATGTTATAAGGTGCTGCTAACTCCAAACGAGGTGGAACTATTTAAAAATAAATAATCAGTGGGGTCTTTTGCTAATACTTTGTACATAGAAGTATCTGAAAGTTGTTCCAAGATGTAATGCCTACAGTCTAAATAATCCAATATCACGATCACGCCCCCTTTATACACTGGTCGAATACAAATAGACGGACCTGTCTCTAATGTGTTTGCCATATTCATGATTAATTGAATGGAAATCAATTCTCAAACCAAATTAAAGGTTTTAATCGTAGAATTCAAGGCAGGAGGATTAAACCTGCTCTTTAATTTCATAATGGGAGTGTGAGTTGAAGAAAATTCAGCTTCCTTAAAAAAAAGTAACGTACTCGCAGTGAATGGCCAAATCTGTATAGTTCAGTTTCGGTTTTAAATGAATCCGATTCTGTTGTAGGGATAAAAGACAAGCCTTTAACGAGTACTGAATTTTCAGCATCCCTCAAAATATGTAAAGACAGATGAATAACTGGAGACTCTACCTGGGTCTTGCATGTAAATATAAATATAGTATCCTTGTACTATTAATGCTATTTATATAATTCCATTATGTAATTCGTTGTTTATGCAGTGTTCAGTATTTGGTACAGTATTTGAATAATAACAGCTTGCACGCAATATTGTTATAAATAAAAAGTTTATTTTCAACTTAGCTTTAATTGCATTCACGTTGTCATTGAAACTGTATACACCAAAAATAATTAATGTAATATAATTATGTTTAATTTATCATAATATGCATTTCCAGAATGTCAGGCAACAATCCAGGAATACATTACATGAGTGGTATTTAAAGCTACTGTAGATTAGAGATAGCTTTTACTTGTTATGGGATGAAAGGTTATACTGACAATGCAATCAGGATTGTGAGGAAGGTAAGAGTATTCACTTTCTGTGATTCGAGCGGTTTCTGTTTCTTGCTTGGCTCACAGATGGTCATGTGATGCTAAAGGCTGATTACATGTGAACATGTTTTCATCTGCTGAACGATGCAGAAACATGAATGGTGGTCAATGACTGGATCTCACATTCTGCCTTTAAACAGCATGATACTTTATAAACATGCAGATGCGATTCTTTATAAAAACGCGTGCTTTCATTTTCATTCTAATTATATTACTTTTACTTCTATATTAAAAATGTAAATAGAGACTGTAAGCAATTGTAGAATTGCAGCATCTTGCAGTATTTATGGTGCTAGGAGTCCCTGGGCGCCATCTTGGTGAATTGGTTAATTTGATCTTACGAAGCCAAATGTTCATACCTCTGTATCATCATATCAACTGACACCAGGCTTAGAAAGTATTTATTGACTTACAGCCAATGCCACAGTCTCCAATACGAGAGTCAGTGAGTGCTGTCCAAAGTTTGGTTTGAGTACAGTGCGCTGTAGATTATCAAGCTTGGATGTTCTACTAAAAGTTGATTTTAAGCCCCTTGAGTCTCTTGGTATCACATTTATTGTGTAGTGGCTCCGTGAGAGGATGAAAATAAGGAATTTACATCATATACAGTATAAAAACAAAAGTGCTAGAGAGAGATGCAAAAAGAAGTATAACATGATAAATGGCCAGTAGTTCTGAAGATACTCTTGCAGCTCGCATAGTTTATTCTTTAATGATAAAGAAGTGCACTCACACTATAATTTTTCTAGGTAATAAAATAAGTACATGCTTTGGGCAGTCTCTGGGCCCTATTAATCATCAGATCTTTGATCTCTCTGGTAGGCAATAGAGCTTGAAAGAATGAGGTGATAAATTCATATAAGGCCTCATTGCCACTTTTTCTGAATATTATTTTGTCTGGAAGAGCCTGCCAAACCTTATTGTCTTCCAACACTTCCCGAGAGTCCACCATAGAGTTAAATGAGCAGACACTAACTCCATCATCTTGTCCTCTAGGCTCCCCATGGGTTCCATCAAGCTATGGAGATCTTGACATAGGTCATCACCATTTTGCGTCAGCTTTGCTGTAGTGAAGCTTTAATATGTCAAACAGTTTTGTATAGTGGCCTCAGTAAGTATGGCAGGAGCACTGGCAAACATTGGGGTAACTACACTTTTTTCCTCCATGTTAGAAGTTGGAGAAGCGTGACTGCCAGCTCCATCTTGGGTCTTGTGGCGGTGGTGAAATGCTGTGATATGCACGTTCCCTTCATGTAATTGTGACTTCTTTCGGGCTCTGGATCACATGACACCAGGTTTTCCAAACACCTTAAGAAGAGGAACTTGGAAAAAACATTATTGAGATTGCGTTAAAAGTAGGGTTGATACAGCTCTCTATCATGTTCTCTATTCATATATGTCCTTCTACATTGGCTTCTGATAACGTCCCCAAAATGATGATGTTTAACCCCTTAAAGGACCAAACTTCTGGAATAAAAGGGAATCATGACATGTCACACATGTCATGTGTCCTTAAGGGGTTAAAGTGTGTGAACAGAGTCACAGTGATGACATGGCACTGCCAGAACAGGAAATTACGCGAAGTGTCATAACGGTATAAGTAGGGTGAACTGCGAGCGTGCTGCATCCCTCTCTCTTTGTCAGGCAGGCTACGAGTATTTGCCTCCAAATCAGGAGGTCAGAATGCAAGCTCCAAGTGGGAAAGCAGAAGTAAATCGGGAGGCAGTACTTCCCAAACTACCCACATAGCTTTGGCAGGAAGGGCACCGATCAGGTAAGTAACGCAACAATATGTATTTCAAGACCCATAACTGGTTATTTTGTTTCTTTTTGGTTAGATTGTAGATTTATGTTTACTTCTACCAAACAGGTTTTTATTATGGGATTGTTTTCTGTACATTCTTTTATGACAAAAGTTTCCACTATGCTCTGTGCAAAGATTATCACTGATTGTCTGAAACACTGGATTGTCATGCATATTGACAAAACTTCAATAAAGTTCAAATACTAAAAAAAAAATGCATGACTTCCTTTTTTAATTTCATTCACTCTGTTACTCTGATGGACATTTGACTTGGATCTGCTCTGTTGCCAGGAATTAGGAGAACTCTCAGCAGAGATCTGGAGTGCATCAGACAGGCTCTGCCTCCTATCGTCAACTCCTACTACTACAAGAGAACATGGCTACCTGTCAATCTGACTTTTTAAATTACCTCTGTCCTGAACTCTAAACATCTGACCATTCACCTTGCCACCAGTGGCGTACACATGACCCATGGGGCCACGGTGCGAAAATTGATCCGTGGGCCCCCCCCCGCGCTTACTCGGCGTGGGTCGGGGCCGCAACACATGGCGGCGAGCACCTGGTCGCAGGGGTTGCAGGGCTGCGACCCCGCGACCGCGGTATGCACACACACTTAAAGGACCACTACAGACACCCAGAACACATCAGCTCAATGAAGTGGTCTGGGTGCCAGGTCCCTCTAGTTTTAACCCAGCAGCTGAAAACATAGCAGATTCAGAGAAACGGCTATGTTTCACTGAGGGTTAATCCAGCCTCTGGTGGCTGTCTCATTGACAGCTGCTTCAGGAGCTTCCGCGATTCTCACTGTGAAAATCACTGTGAGAAGACACTGAACGTCCATAGGAAAGCATTGAGTAATGCTTTCCTATAGGCGGTTTAAATGCGCGCGCACCTCTTGCCGCGCATGTGCATTCGGAGCTGAGAGGCGGAGGGATCCCCAGCGCCAAGGGAGTCCGACGCTGGAGAAAGGTAAATGCTGAAGACACACACACACACTCTCATGAACAGACG